GAAGGTATTTCATGAAAATAAATAATGCCATCGAGTGGGAAAGTAGTGAGCAAATAAATGCAAACCCTGATGGCAGAAACACTCTAGAAATGGAAGAAGTGACATCATGTTAATCCCTTGGCAAAATGTTTCAAAAGTGCACTTCAGAAAAGGTTGACTCCTACTGGTTTGTTTTCCATACTGTCCAGACATGTACAGAATATAATATTCAAATTTTTTTTAATTCAAGCAGACTGTTCATATAAGGTGACGTCATAGAATATTATCACAGGAGGCCATTCATGTCACTGTGTCCATGCTGGGACTCTATTGAAGCACCTTTCCCCTCAGTATGCAATTTTTTTCATCTTCGGGTATTTATTCAATTCCCATTTTCAAAAATTTGATTTGTATCAGCCTCCACATCACTGTCAGGCAGTGCGTACTAATTGATCACTGTGTAAACATGTTTTTCCAAGTGTCACTGTGGTTCTTTGGCTACTTACCTTACCGTGGTGTTCTTTGAATTGCAGTATTTCCACCAAACGTAACAGTATCTCCTAATCTTTCTGTTTGAACTACTCCTGACTTTGAATATGTCTCTCAGATTTCCTCTTAGCTAACCCTCTACGGAGAACTGCCTGGCATGACAACCTACGTCCAAAATGACAATTATTCAGGAACAGTCTTTCAGTGAGACCCCTGTGTTTAAATCAAGAATGTACGACCAACGAAAAAGAGAGTGAGAAAGAGAGGACGGGGAGACAGAGAGAAAGTGAGGGAAAAACTGAATGACTCCACTATACAAATTTTATTGCTGTATCATGTAAATTACAACGCAAATGCTCCATCTTTGTTTCACTGATATACCTCACCAGCCTGTCCAATTTATCCACAGAAAGTCCTCATGCCTGGAATTATTCTAATTTCTGAACCTCCTGTAAAGTTCTCACATCCTTCCTGATATGCAGCACTCAGAATTGGAACAGCTCTCCCACCTGAGATTAAAACACTGATTTACAAAGGATTGTCATAACTTCCTTACTTTTATACTCTCTGCCTCCTTTAAAGAGCCCAGAACCCTATATGGCTTTTTAATCTCTTTCTCAAACAGCCATGCCACTAACAATGACTTGTGCCTGTAAACTGCAGATCTCTCCATTTCTCTACCCTTTAAAATTGTCCACTTTATTTTGTATTGCTTTGTCTTCCTACCAAGATGTATATCATGATATTTCACAGCATTAAATTTCATCTGCTAAACGTCTGTTCGTTTCACCAACCTGTCAATATTCTCTTAGAGTCTATCACTATCCTCCTCACAGCTTACTATACTTATAAGTTTTGGGCCACTGTAAGTTGTTAAATTGTGTCCTTTGCACCCAAGTCTTGGTAATTAATATATATCAAGAAAAGTACTAATTCTTGAACCAACCCTGAGAGACATGCACTGTATACCTCCCTCCAGTCTGAAAACCAAACATCCACCACTACTGTGTTTTGCATCCATTCTTCATTTTCACATAATTCTGTCAACATTATGAAATGTATATCCGTGAAACAAAGATGGAGCACTTGCGTCGTAACTTACATGATACAGCCATAAAATTTGTATAGTGGAGTCAATCAGTTTTTCCTTCACTTTCTCTCTGTCTCCCCCTCCTCTCTCTCTCACTCTCTTTTTCTTTGGTCATACATTTTTGATTTAAATACAGGGGTCTCACTGAAAAACTGTTCCTGAATAATTGTCATTTTGGACGTAGGTTGTCATGCCAGGCAGTTCCTGACACAAACATTTAGACATCTGTAGTCAGTAACTTACTTTAAGAAACATTCTGATATCCTTCTAAAACATTTCAGTCAAAAGCGAAAACGGCAAGATAAAATGGCATTCGGTTAGTTTGTCAGTATGTGTCAGGATACTTTTGGGACCAGTAACATTGGATGGCAAAATATCTCTGCAACAGATGCAATGTGACAATCTAACTGAAAAGTCAAGTGGACTTTGAATTCTTATACACTTAATTTTGCAAAGAATTTAACATGCAGTGACTATACAGTTACATTCACATTTTGTAATTCATTAAGGCTTATCATAACACTTCAATCCAACTATGTCTTCTCATGCAAAATTTGAACTTAGTCATTTTGCGGTATTTTTATACTTAAGCTTTCAAGTATCAATCATGTTAGTGAAGGAACAAAGGGAACTTGGAGAGTGTGTCCACAGAGCTTTAAAGCTCGACATGGTATTTAAGAAGGCATATGGAATATTTTGTTTTCTTAGTTGAGGCATAAAATAGAAGAGAGTGGTGTTGCCAGAATTGTATGCAGCATTTGAGAACAGTTCCAATCACCATATTATAGCAAAGATGCACTGGAGAGGGGACAAAGGAGGTTAATGAGAATCTTGTCAAGACTGGAAAATTCCACTTCTAGGAAAGATTGGATAGGCTGGGTCACTTTTCTTGGAAGAGAGCAGGCTAAGGGGAATCTTACTTGCAGTGTACAAAATGACAAATGGTCTTGATAGAGTTAAAAACCAGGGAACACAGGTTTAAAGTATTTGGTAAAGCATCAGAGGGAAAATTAAGAATTATTTTTCTCCCAGAGAGTGATAGCAATCTGTTACTTACTGCCTTAAAAAGTAGTGCTTTTATAAAGTAGTTGGGTGTTTGCTTGAAGAGCCACAATCTGTGGAGCTATGCATTAGTACTGAAAGGTGAGTTTGGGCTGGATTGCTCAGTGTTGACCAGCACAGACACAATGGGCCGATCGCCCTCCTTCTGTGTCTGTACTTGCAAGGAGGAAAGACTGCACCATTCCCTTACCATATGTGCATCTTCATTTGATGATCCGGTTGCACAGTCACATCTCACCAGAAGAAGTTGATCAAGGTTTTTCTCCGGGAAACAGGAAACAAGAAACAGATTTATTATGAGAAAAATTACAATGAATTGCTTTCTATGAACCTGCCTATCAATATGACCTCCTCTGTTACTTAACAGATGGAATGAGTGTGTCTTGCTGATATTTTGGCATTGTGTGGCTGTACTGTTTTTGAATCATGCTGGGTTCTATATATGTTAATTCAAATAATAAATAAATGTACTGTATACATAGGTTGAGGAGTAAAATTGTCTTAGGCTGCTTTGTGAAATACGAGTATTAAAATATGCTCAATCTAAATCTTTGTATGGGAAGCACGTGGACGTTTATGTTTGTTGACCTTTAGATTTATTTGATTTCATTATGAATCAATTCTTTAAAAATTGATTTATTATCTTTTATGTTCTGAGAATGATTAAAATATAGGTTTGAAACTTGAACCAGTATAGATTATGTAACTAAGTATTATCCTCTCATTAGGTTAAATGCTCTGTGCTCATTTAAGATACTAAATACTTCAACATCTGAAAATTTCTGGAGGATCAACAAAAAGGTGACAAGTGGTTGGATGCTGAGTTGAGTCCTGTGGATATACAGGAGAAAGTTGTGGTGTTGAGACAATAATTGAGTTCAACTGATGCATGAATGTAATTCTCAACTCTTATTGAGATCAAGTAAAAGCTTACAGTGCTCAGTTTAGTTAATTTGTATTAAATGTGTTGATGGAGTCTGCTGTGACTGGCAAGTGTTTTAAGTTTAAGATTTTCATTATAACAGTATTTCTCTGACCATGTCCATGAAGCTCCAGTCCGAACAAAATAATAGGCTGAATTTCAATTACCATTAATAAATCTCTTTTTGTAGTGTACAGATAGATTGTACACCACATTGAAATTCTGGAGTTAATGTGAAAAAATATTTTAAAATGAAATTACAATGGAAGTTCATCTTGCAAGTGAGGAGCTGAGTTTTGAATCTGCTTCTTTTAGTTGACAATTTGGATGTGTTTTTCTAAGTTGATAAAGCATTTAACTGAATATTAGTTATCCTGTATATTCATGTCAGGTCAATTCAATTTGAGTTAAAATGTCCTGATCTGATTACTGGCTATCACGATCATAGTAAAGGCAATGATAATGCTTGACTGAACACAAATAAAATCCAGAGGGAAATGCAAAGCTATGTTCTCCAAGGAGCTGAGTAAGTTGCAAGTTCTGCAGCCTTTCTTGTACGGTGAGTGAAGCAGTCCTAGATTTACTCGATAAACCTGGTAAGGTCCCTTCTGCATATTTGTGTTCGGTTAGGGTGTTCTTGTAGAAGCTAAAGACTAATGACAATCTAAAAATACATTACAGTAAAATTTGAGAATATAATGTGGTTAACAGTACAACGATTATGGTGGTTTAACAATCCGCTTGAGGCAGGTTGCTGCTGATTTGCTTTGGGTGGATTATTCTTGTGTGTGCATTTGTTGTTCGTACAGCTAAACTCATTGCTCTATTTAAATGGTGTTAGAATAAGGATACATTGTCCCGGGTTTTACTTTTTAATAGATATGCACAGCAGTAGTTTGCTTTCCTCTTATTAGGCAATTAGTTGAACGTTGTCAACTGTATAATTAAAAATATGGATGACTACCGACATAGCAATCTATTTTGCAGCATCCTTCAGACACAGCCCTCCTGTGATATCTGTAAAAAGACACCTAGCTTCTTCACCACCAGTATCGCACAGCTACAGAAGTAGAGAGAGTCAGAAGCCAAGGAATTAAAACATCATTTATCGGGTGGTTTTCTGTTTTATCTGGAAACACTGCAGTGAACTGTTCAAAGGCGGCTCAGATTATATTGTTTGCAAGAATTCTTATTTAAGTCCAAGGGAATAGAGGAGAGGTTTGCATTTTCTGCCCAGAAATATTATGTTTTAGAATTGCATCTTGTCGAGTTATGATGACACATTAGGATGGGGCATCATTATTCTGGCAGCTAATTCTGTAACCACGGTGCAGTACATCATCCGTCCTGGACTACCTCCCACTTCAAGGTCGTTTACTAGTTTTGGAAGGTATTCCATTCTTTCCTTTTTCTTCAGCCATCTGTAAGGAGTCTTACTTGCATCACTGAATCTTTCAGGTGTTGAAAATTAACCTTCTGGGTCACAGAAAACGAATCTTAGCATCACTTGGAGACAGACTTCACGACGAGCCTCCTCAGAAGCCTCCGAGGACAATTACTTTGAGGGTAAGCTGTGTTTGTACAGTGTTGAATTAGTACAGCTATTTGCATGGAATGTAGCACGGTATAATTTTAGTTAGCTCATCTCCGGCCAATCTTCAGCACTGGCATGTATCATTATTAGCTGCTTGCCTCAGTATCTTTCCTGTTCCATGACCACCACCAACATTCTTCGTTCTGTATGTGAGAATATTCCCTGAAGATCTTCCAAGCAATGTTGTGAAATTAAAATGTGAGAGACAACTCATTTCAGGATTTTTTTTATTATTGCGACCTTTTGTTCGAATGCAGGCTGAAAAATATCTGTCAAATCTTTGAGAGTGTCAGAGAAATGAAAAGCAATATCTGTTCTCATTAAAAAGTAAACTCTTAAGCACATATGTCAAAACCCTTCAGCTCCAATGCAGGGATTCAGGTAGTCATTGAGTCAATCGTAGCATTAGTCTGCACCGCATTAACCCTTCCTCAACAGAATTACAGCATTTCAAATCTGTTCCACATCGATTAACTGGCTTCTCTTTGTAGACTTTTCAGGAAAGGATTTTTAAAAATTATTTGGAACATTTATATACTAGAAATTTTACAATGATTTGTTGTTCAGCTTGTTCTTTACGCTCATGCTATTCAATCATTTTTTTTTTAACGTGGTGATATAGGACAGAATAACCTCAAAGATTTAGTGAGTGGTTCAATTTACTACACAGGAAGCAAACCGTTTAATCCAGGGAAGGATTTTTGCAGATGGTAATGAATTGCTGTAGCTCGTGGAATCTGACAGGTTAAGATCTATGCCAGGATCATCTTCATGTTTTCAATAGCTGTATGAAAGCAGCAATTTAATCTCAATTTTTGGAATCGTGCGAGCAAGTTCACATTTCGACCTTATCAAATGTTTGTTTTTTTTTAAATCACACTCAACCTAAAATGTCATTGAAGGATTCATGGAAATATGTTTCTTGGTTCTGCTCTCATGGACGATAAAAAGGAAATGCTGTCAAGGAACTGTATATATTTCAATATTCAGTTAAGAAAGGTGGTATACAATTGTCAGTTTTATAAACACATACTACATGTCTGAAATTTGCTGGAGCAGTACTCTGTCATTCAAGTGTTACCAGAAGGTTTTATTTTTATTTTAAAAGGATCAAATAATTTTAATATATATTTCCACGTATATTTTTCCAATAATTTCTTTTCAGCACTTAAAACAAAAATATCAAATTTTAAAGCCCTCTTATGCCACATATGCATAGTTTTCAACTGGAATTATTTAAATGTGCTGATCGAAAGGTTAAACAAAAATGGGCAATCTGAAAGAAAAACAAGGAATGGTCAAAATGGTTATCTTCCAGTTTCCAATTTTGCCAGAGGTTTTCCTTTGGAAATGCTTGTTCATCTTTTCTTTTTCTCAGGTACTACAACGTGTCTCCACCTTTTTACAATGTTCTAAAGGGCATTCTTGATAAAGCATCTGCAGCAAAACAAAAAGTGTTTCCAGACCAACACTTAGGGACCCTCAGAAATGTGCCCACAGAACTGTGCAATTTATATTGAACTGTTTGTACATTTGGAATCTGCTTCCCTCCCACTGCTGGGAGCGAATATTGTTGATTCTCATGCAGACCACTAGGTGAAGCACTATGATATGATGGGACCCTCCATCTTAGAAGGAGGGAACAACTGACGAGTGGTGGAAGAAAAAAAACCACTCAGTTTAGGTGCTATTCAGATTGGATCTCTTTTTATATCAATAGGTCAGTTGTCCTGAATCCCGCAATGCCATCTTGCAAGATGATGTATATATCGTATCTTGGATGGTAAGTCACATCACTCTGAAAAAGGCTGGGCAACATGGACTTGAGGCCTTCTCCCCCCAATAGAGTGCAAGTACGCTGCTTAATTTCTGATGCCTGCCTCCACTGCAGGATGTAATAATTTTCACACCATACTTTTCCCAAGCAACAGTTAACTCGGAACTCTAGTGAAGGGCAGATGGTCTGTCCTTCGTTCCTGCCTAGCTTGCATTGAAACGGGCTGTCCAAGTTCTGTCACTCTTTTGTATGTTGTCCTGCAAACAAAATCATCATTTCATGTACATATTGTAGGAAACGTTATGGAAACACTTGTTTTAGCAATCATTTTTAAATCCCTGGGATCATTATTTATGATTTAAAGCAATTTTGCTGCCATCTGTCTTTCTTTGCAATGTATTTTGCCTATTCCTTTTTCTGCTGTGCAATGACCACCTGCCAACAGAATTTGAGCACATACTGTAACCAACAGAAGTGATATCTGTAAGTTTCTAAACCTGAGTCTTATTTTAAGGCAACAGTTTGTGTCTTAGCTAGTGAATTTCTAGATCTTCATTATCTTGCAATATGCAAATGACAAGTGCAAATGACTCAATCACGAAGATTTAAGAGATACCGTCACTTCATTTAGGACACACTGTTCTCCCTCCACACCACTCCCATAATTAGCACATGACACAACATCTTAGGCCTTAGATTTGTGATTTTCTTTGCATAATATCTGTTACTGAATTCATCTTAGATGGCCTCAGGGTGCAAAGGGAAACAGAGATAAAAGAAGATGCATAATCCTTTTTGGAAAATATTCAATGTCGATTTATTTCTAGAACCTGGCCTGGGAAACAGTTAATCAGTCAGAGTTTTTATTGACAATTTCAAATTATTCCAGTTTCACGCCTTCTGTCATGGGCCATTTCTTTGACGTTATGCTTAATGTGAAACACTTCCATTTGTAAGGAAGGAGGTTTTAAGCAGATACTTTGATAATGATTTACTTTGATTCTAATGATCTCCCATAAGTGATGTTAGCTGACCATCTGTGAAGAAGAGCATGCCATGTGTCTCATTTTTTTTTCTCTCAATGAAACTGAGTAGATGACTGGAATAACAGGTTTACTTCCACAAATATATTTGCTGTTGGTACTTTTGCTCATTGGGACAGTGTGAAACCCTCACAAATTGGGGGAAAAGATGTGCCAAGGTCTCTGAAAGGTTTGAGTAAGGGTTAGCTTGCAGGACTGCAGGCAACTTATGACCACAGTAGCTGCAGTATTCAGCGTGAGACTTCGGCACAAATAGCCAGCAGAATCGACAAAATGAACAGTCCTATTAGAATAGTTAAATAAATCCTGATCCTAATTTACATAGAGATAACAAGGTGTAGAGCTGGATGAACACAGCAGGCCAAGCAGCATCAGAGGAGCAGGAAGGCTTTTTTTTATTCTTTCCATGACATTAGCAGAAAATGCAGGGACAGCTAATTAGTCTAAAGTTCCATCTCCATTGCTACCTACAACTTCAGGTATTTCAGTCATATCACGTTATGAGTAAGCCATAACTTTCACAAGCTCGGCAATGACCAGAGTGAGACCATTCTGTTTTTCCACCAGTGCTGGTGGCACTCATTCAGTCCTCTTTTTAGCTATTTAATCAGATGCAACCTGATGACAAACATCTTCAGTGTCTTGTAACCCTGAACAGGGACTTCAAGTCTGTAGTTAAAAGATCATTGTCTCAGTTTGCATGACATAGTCCCTTCCTTTTACCCCCAAATCTTTCAAGTACAACTGAATCCATCACCCATGCCAGTTACTTAGCATAATTTTTTCCAATTGAAGTATAATTCAGCACACTTCCTCATCCATGTGCAATTCCATACTCCAATTATCCATCTGTCCACTGAGCTTCATTCAGTCTTGATCCCAAACTGTATTGATTACAAAATCCATGTTTTCCTTTTAACATGTTTTCTTTTGCAGCTCACACTTTTTGAAATCTCCAAGCGCATGCCCCATGTGCTGTCAGGTTCACTGCCCAATTTCTCCAGCATTATTAGTTCTCTCTCCCACCTTCAAAAGCCTCAGCAACATCAAGAACTTGTAACTGTGCTCTTTACTACATTCCCAAATACTCTGTTGCACCCGCTTTGTTCATATTTGGGCTCCTCAAGGCCTCTATTAACACTCTTATTAAAACTATCTTCTCATGTGATAGGTGGGATAAAATTGTAAACTGTTGGCTTGCTCACACTTATGTAACACCTGATCATATACTGTAATTTTCCAAGCATTTGACAATGAGTGAATTAATTATCCTTTTTTTGGATGCTGTGTTTTTGAAGTCAATACAGAAGGAAGTAAAAGTCAGTATTTTGCTTGTACAAATATACAAGGTGTGGAAGTCTTCATTTGGGGGGGAGAAAAAGGACATGGTTATTGTGAAGTTCAGAATGCACTTCAATCAAGAACATCCGACTTTGATGTGTCCTTATGCTCATTACTCAAGACTGGAAGGTTCCGCATCAGCCATCAAAAGTGATCCTTTCCCAGACCTTTGCACAAGCTAATTAAAAACGTTAATTGTAGTTAATGTTGAAGAGGGACAAAGCAAATGTAACAACAGCTTTTCTCTGGGATGTCTATTACTGAATAAAGAGTTTCTTTCATTATATGTAATCCAAAAATATATGTAAAAAAAATTCAGTAAAAATAATGATAGATTAGATATTTGCCATCCTCAGTTTTTTTTCTGACGTTTTCAACACAATCTTGAAAAAGTGCACATTGAGAATTTAGCCAAGGCTTCTTGTAAAAATGGGCAAGTATGGCACAGTTGGTCAGGGAGTAAGTAACACCTAGTAGTAGAGGTGAGCGAGGAAGATTTGATCCTCTCCACCTTTTGTCCCTTCTATCTAACAGCTTAAGTTTCTGACCTCAGCTGTATTTTTGTGGAGAGGCATAGAGCTGAGACCTGACAGTACCTTCTGAAGAGGTCAGGAAGTCAGAGAGGGGTGTCGCGCTTGGCCATTGTCACATGTCTGTTAGTGAAAATGAGTAATTAGAGCCTGGAAGAAAGTTGGCAGGGGGTGCTTATGATCTGGGCAGGCTGGGAGAGAAGAAAAATCATCTTAGTTGGATTATCTAATAGGATTCATCAGTCTTAGTTTAAATACTTAACCTGAAGAAGCGAAGAGAGGCCAGTTTGTCTGTCTCATCACGGAGCATGTTACATAACTTTGTTCCGCATACATTTGATTTTTATACCATTTTTGTGTTAATGCTGAAATAAATTACCTAAAGCAGTGGTTTAATATTAAATCTGTACCAACTACCTCTTGTTAGATTATTGGTGTTATGCCAAGATTAAAACTACCTGAGATATCCATTGATTTGTGATAGATTATTTAGGTGTGAGGGCTGTAAACATGTGTTCTGAATGTTTCATCAATTTGAAATGCTTAGCTTTCACACTCATGAACGACACCGAGAAACTAAACCATTAGGGCTGGGAGAGATTCAGTAACATAAATCATAACATTAATTAATACGTTGCTATTTGCTTCTGGAACAGGACCCTGGGAACAACACTCCTCCTCAACTTTCCCCATCCCTTAGCCAAAGCACTTACACTGGTGGCTCTCTTGATATCCCCTCTTCCCATTTAATGATGCAAGGGGACGCAAGAAGGCGAATCAATGACAGCTACTTTGAGGATATGCCTAGGTCAAAACTGGAAAGACAAATGGCTCAGGTAAATTGCATTGAATAACATGCAATAGGCTGTTAACCTTGGGTTCCCTTTGCACTAGCTTGGCTTACTTTCCTCATAATTGATTATTTTCTTTGTAAGTTTGTTTGTCATACAGTACACCAGTACTATCTGCTCATCTATCAATTCTGTCTCTTCTATAACTTGGTAAAAATAAATTAATAAATCATTTATACGAAAGCATTTTCATTCAGATTCTCACAGGGATTTTATTTTTCATTTTGGTGAAATGTAGAGATTCTCAGCTTTTATGGTTCATAAGATCCTCTGGTGTTCGATGTGATTGTGAGTTTGGGCTTATTTAGGATCCCAAGGCTAAACAAAATGGAAAGCATGTCTTTGTCTGCATAAACATCACTGTTTTCATTATAATCATGTGTATAGCACTTGACAATTTGATCTTAGACAGTGCTCTATGTATTTATTTGATCAGGACATCTGACAGACACATGGTCGTCCATAGCATTGTTTTAAGAGTATCAGGGCCAAGCTATTGTAGAAATAATACCAATTGTAAATATATTTTCAGAAGAGTGTAAGGTCTCTCCCTGTACCCACTTATCTCAACATTTAGTACAGGTCTTGCATACACACCAAAACAGCACAATATAGAGCAATGGCTGCAGCTTGTTCACAAAGAACATGCTAACTTTTAGGGCTTTATTTGCAGAGATACTTAAAGCTTTAATGCCAGGATTTCAACATTTAATAATAACAATAGAACTGCAGATGCTGGAAGTCTGAAACAAAAACCAGAAATTGCTGGAGGAACTTAGCAAATCTGGCAGCTTCTGGAGAAAGCAGAGTCAATGTTTTGGGTCCAGTGAGCTGCCTTCAGAGCTGGTCACTGGACCTGAAACATTGACTCTACTTTCTCTCCACAGATGCTCCCAGACCTGCTAAGTTTCTCCAGCAATTTCTGGTCTTGTTGCAACTCTCAGTGATTGATCGTCTCCTCCTAGGTTCTTTAGTGATAAAGTTTGCAGGTCAACCAGTACCATAGCCTGAAGTCTTGCTTCAGGTCTGCATGTTTTTTGATTATCAGGTTACTATATCTTCCACATGGGTTTGATTTGGTCCCAAATGTCTGTAGTCAAATCTTCAAGCCAAACAGATTCCACTGCACTTTCTTGTCCCTTTCTCTCCCTCCTCCACTGCTCCTCACTAAAGGATACTCACTAGTCAGTGCCAAATCAATACGGATATTTTGTCAGGAAGTAGAATTCAAAATGAATGAATGTAATATGATTACATTGGGAACTCTTTTAGATCAAATCTTATTTGGAACGTTTATAAAATGTGACAAGTCAAATTTATGCGTGCAGGTTCACCATGGGCTTTTGTAATAAGAAAAATGGTAGTGTGGAATCTGCTTTTGATGCTTCTTGTATTTATAACATTCTGTAATGTGTTAGAGATTTAGAACTGGCCTTTTCATATCCACGTGAATCAGATGTTTACAACTCAGAGTTTAGCGTACAGATGAATGGTGAAGACACGCATATCTATAACGTGAGAGGCATGCTCCTAACCAATATAAAAATAAATGGAATGCATACTTGCTATTGCCCCCATTATCAACAGACAAGAAAATTTAAAACAAATAATCATCGTCCAATTGACTGAGCCTGTTGTCGGGTTATATTTTGAACACCCTGTAAAACGCTTGTCTCAGTTACCATGGTGCTGGTTTGTTAGGTGGAGTACATAGCCATGGCATATTCTGTGGAGGTACATACATTATGTTGAGAATGTCTATTCAGCATCTTGCTATAATTCGATTTATCTTTTAAATTGCTTCTACATGTCTTGACGTTGGAAAATGGCAAGACCGCTGTTAATTCCAGGCCTCTTTCTAAGTCTCCATTTCGAAGTTCTGGTACTTTTTATTGTATAGCTATGGCACTTCTCTTTTGTCCATTAAACAACATTTTGTTGTTATAAAAAGTGCTGTTTGTCATTTGATATCCTATTTGCAGAACCAATCCAAATCTATGGTAGACTGTTGCCGGCATCATCTATCCCACGTTATCATTGTGTTTCTTCAAACTTAATAAACTTATGTTTAGTCACTGTGTCCAAATCTTATGCAGTAAAGAAGCAATGGATTTTTTTTTTGAGTGTACAGATGCTTGCAGTACTCTTGTACAGCTTCCTTTCTTATTCTGCACTTCTTATTAGCACACTCATTCACAATTCTTTTTAATACAATCTGCAGTGTACTCTGGTTCCCATGGCTATTGTTCATGGTTTTCTTTGAGATCTTGCTGAAAGCATTCTGACAATACAAATAAACAATGTAAGAAGGATTACCACTATCTGGTACCTTGCTTCTCTTAAAATAAAGATACTGCATTTATTTCCTGTGAAAGGTTCCCACACCCAATGATTCTTTCATAACAATCTCCCAGGCATCCCAGGATGCATGACATTGATCCAATCTACTGTAACTTTTCCTCATCTTCTGCCTGTTTTCCTCATGGATTTTATAGAAGTTTCATTCATTTCATTCCTTCTATTTTGATTGACCTCATTGTTTATTTTGTAACTGCATTTTCAGCACAGAAACCTTTTTCTTTGATGCCTGTTTGTCTTCTACATTTATTCATACAGTTTAAGAAGTTTTCCATTTTCCTTAACTGATTTGTCTCTGAACAATACCAATTAATCCAATAAATGCACTTTGATTAATCTTCCTTGTAGCTGAAGTTTGCATTCCTGAAATTCTTTTTTCCTGGTCCTCGCTGATATAGCCCAGATCTCTAACGTCAATAATCCCTATGTTGAATGCTGTGCAGCTTTAAGGTTTAGGATTTGAGATCTTTATTATTCTATGACATGTTTCAGTGGTGTCACTGCTGCAGGAGAAAAAAAAACAATAAAATGGAGTCTTTTAATTATCTTTTGCACCATTGGGATTTTGCGTTGAAGGTGGCGTAGACAAAAAGATGACGACGATCAGCCTACCAAATTATACTGTATATCCTTATTATTGTTTCTGAATGCATTGGTTCAACTCATCACCTCTTGTGCTGGATGTAGACAAATCACAGATGGATTTAAGGTGCCTCCCCTGGAAGGGGCTCCAGTGAAAATGAATATCAGTGATAAATTAGTTGACGGGTCACGTTTGACTTTTATAAGTGTCGTTACCAAAGCTGTCGCAGGTTCAGTATTTCTCTGGTTTAATTTTCCTTTTCTATTTAGCAGGCAGAATGGAGTGAGCCTTCAATCACTCTACGGCCTCCAAATGAAGCCACGTCATCCACGCCTGTACAGTATTGGCAACATCATCCTGAAAAACTGATCTTTCAGTCCTGTGACTATGAAGCATATGTAAGTATTTCTTAGATAATAGGAATGGGAGGAGAGTAAACTGGGGTTAGCACACTGCATAGTCCTTTATACATGTATACTCTAATGCTTTCTTAGCAACACTATCACCTACTTGAATTCAGCTTAGCTTTTTTATTTATTTTATTCCACATTATTTGTCCTCTTTGTCCGTTTTTGGGACTGCTTGTTTTTTTTTCTCCCAGGTAAATACTTAGGTTTTTATTGTCAAAATATTAATTTTGATAGCAGAAAGAAACTTTGGACCATGATATTTGGAAGTATTTATTATGTATTTTCAGAATTCTCCTTCACTCCTACTAAGGACAAAAAGTAACTTTCTTTTCTCGTGTTTAGTATTTAGGATCTATGCTGGTGAAGGAATTGCGAGGAACAGAGTCAACGCAGGATGCCTGCTCTAAGATGCGGGTATGTTGTCTAATGCAAAGTTTTCACTATGACACCTGTGCAGTCCATTGTGTTAGTGGAACTGGAATGCCGTTGAACATTCATATCAGTGTGTACATTAGACAAAGATTGTTTTAAAGCCCTGACAACCTAGAGGGAAAATATACAAGCCATAAAGAAATTATAATCCCAATTTTAAAAAAAGGGCTTGTAACATTGCTGCATCCATTGTGTCATTACAATAAACCCCATAATAGTGTACATATTCAAGAGTTGGTGTGTAAACATACCAATGATCTTATTAACGTAATCTGAGCGACACAAACTCCTTAACCTACAATTTTGATTAGTGCCTCCTGTTCATTGAGGCTGAGATCAGGAACATCGCCAGATTGGGTCATCATGGCTCTTTTCCATTATACAATACCTTATGCTCCATACTCAACTAAACAACCATCATGAATTATTAATATTTATTGTATAGAATCCTTCAATTATTCCAAACGGTTTTGTAGTAGAGAGATAGTAGGAACTGCAGATGCTGGAGAATCTGAGATAACAAGGTGTACAGCTGGATGAACACAGCAGGCCAAGCAGCATTATAGTAGAGATGTATTTTAGAACATTCCGGAATCTTTGAGAGTGGTGGTGAGAAGGAGTAATCACGTTTTTGAAGTGATTTGAAAACGTGTATAAAGGACTGTGCCTCCTTAGCAGTGCATTGGGGAGAATTGTCTGTCCTCTTGGTATTGGTGGTGGAGTATCCAGAAATATTATAACAACCTGCAGAATATAAATTAATTGATTTCTGCTCCAGATCAAAATAAGATTGGAGCTGTGAATACATTTAAAAGGACAGCCATGCTGCCTTCAGTCATGTTAACATCCATAACATTCACAGGGGTGGAAAGGATAATTTGCTGTCCAATGAGAATAAGTAATTCTTAGAACTGCAGAAAACTGAGGCTAATTAGAACACACAATGCACAACCAGAAACAGTCATGTTAATAAAATCCCAAATAGCTTTTCAAAAGGAGTTGACTAACTATTTAAGCATGAATATTTTAGAGGTTTAGAGAAAAGAGCTGGTGTCATTGCTAACTTTTTCAGAAAGGCAGCATATATATTAAAGGACAAATAGCCCATTTCTGTGCTGAAAATCTCTTAAGAATGTAACTTGCATTCTGATGCCTAATTTGCAAATCTGATTGATACTTCCTCTTCCTCAACTTTCTGTACAAACATTTAAATTAGAAACAGGAGTAGGCCATTCAACTCCTTTGAACCCACTCTGCCATTTTTGCAAGATCATGGTTATGGTTTCAATTCAATTTGTCTAGCTATCTGGACATTCTTTGGATCCCTCTCTCTAGAAACTGTTCTGACACAATACCCTGTCAGTGAATACATGGCGTTGTCCATCTATTAGGAGACTTGAGGTGGATTTTACTGGCCTTGTGACAATGGGCGAGAACCCAGGGTGCCAGGAAACTGTCTTGGTAAGATTCAATCCTATCACCAGGGTGTTTTCTCAGAGACAGAACCCGCTGTGGGTTGAGGCTCGCTGCATCAAGAGATGACATGGGGTGTCGATTTGAATAATCACATGCCCGATTGCATGCTACTTTCCTGGGCCGCTAGGATTATACCAATCCCCGAGCAGCCCCTCATGAATTGGAATGGTATAGTCACACGGAAGAAGCTTTCCCAGGGCATCATGGTTTCCCAACCTTGCATTACAAAAAAAACAGTATTTATGCTCACCCCTCTTAGAATGCCTATGTTTTGAGGCATGTTCAGGCTGTCCCCACTCCCTTGGCAGTGGCCATTTCTTTCGGTAATGCTGGTCCTCAGGTTTGACTGGCAGCGAGGAAGGACTGCCAACAGACTTTAATTAGCCACCTCTGCTGCTTGCCAGCTCATCATTACATTCTCCTGGCAACAGTGCAGGAGAAGTCTCACCTCATATCCAACCTAGAAACTACCTCATAACCAACCACAGGACCTCACCCGTTTGGAACAATCTCACCTTTGTGCCTGAGCTTCTCTTTTTTTTTTTGGAAATTTTCTGATTAACATTATGCGCCTTTTACTGTGCTGAATTAAATAACTAGCATTGACTTTGCAAACATCGAAATTAGTCAGCCATCAATAGAGTTATGGTCATTTTGTTCAAAGAATCAAAGTCTTCATTTTCAAATACTTTCTGAAGAAGGGTCACTGGACTTGAAACATTAACTCTGTTTTCTCTCCACAGATGCTGAGTTTCTCCAGCAATTTTGTTTGTTCATTTTCAAATATGCTTTCAGGATAGAGCTGTTAAATCTGTCAAAACTGTTTTATGTTCCTAAAGTCATTATTTGGCAACTCACCTCTCCTGTTTCCCTAAAGGCTTCAGAGCAAATGAAGAAGATTCCTACAATTATACTTTCAATCTCATACAAAGGTGTAAAGTTCATCGATGCTGCAAACAAGGCAAGTGACTAATTTTTCTTTCAGACATCAAAGGCTGATTTTTTTCTAAAAAATTGAAATAAAACACATTTTAATTCTTCTTAAAAGTAAGGGGACTTTTACAGACTTTGGTACATTTGAGAACCCGAATTCAGATATGCTTGAAACTGATACGAAACTCTTCTGCCAGCTCCAATGTTTCAAAGTGTGAATGAGTCGAGGATCAGTCCAATTTCTGCTGGGTACTAGACCACATTACAAAACCGTCTGCACACTAACCAAATTAGTACCGAGAGACAATAAGAACTTTGGAGAAGTCGCAAGGCCCCATTGACGTGGCCAAATAGGGTTGAGTCACACCATGGGAAAGTTTTCTGTCTGCAACATATGACAAATGTATTCAAAATATGTCTAAACAAATTTATTTCTTCAAAACACGTGCACCTCATTGGAAATGTGATTCAGTGCCAAAAAGCAGTATTTTTACAGGGAAATATGTGACAACAAAGAAAGGGGAGTGGGTTTTTAAATATATGTAAAGCATGGGGGATAAAAAGTCTCAGCCCCATTCATGTCTGCTCTTTCCAGAGACCAGTTACCATCTGCTATGTCATGGATGTCACCCAACTCATTTAATCTTCTGAAGACAGATCCTTTAAACTTTCTCACTACGAGCTGGCAAAGAAGATAAATTAAACCCAGCTGGAGAATATCAGTCTATAACCTTACATGCTATATTGTTCACCATTCACCAGTTTCTATCCTTGGACAGAGTAATACACATATCTGCCGCTGTGGATTAGAGGAGGACGGTTATTGCTTATAATCTTATGCCTTTCTTGAACGTTGTTAATTTCATTTCCTTGTCTGCTCCTCTTCATTCACAGTTTACTTAGTTAACCCTCTTTAACTGACATTATCCATTTCTGCCAGCATTTTAGAAAAACAAATTGCCAATTTATATGTATTTTTGCTTTGGAATTTCTGATAAGCTTTGTGCCGGTAGTGCAAAGTCATAATAGAATCCCTAATAACCCAAATATACCATTATTAATGGAGTATGTAAAGTTAAAAACAAAAGTACTTTTGTTATTTTTAGCTGATTCCTGACTGAATGTTTAGCATTTAAAATAATAGCTATGCTTTAACTGAACATTTCCATACCATTTCCTTTTTCATTTATATGCGGTCAGGGTGTTTTTACCCATCAATGATTGGATTATGGTGAATTTCACATTCCACTTGGCCTAGCTTAAAAAAACACACATTCATCCTGTACACAGTCACACCAAATCATGCAACCAGTTTGGCTAATAAATATCGTGGAACATCTGTGCCACTCAGATGCCAGGGAATGACCACCCCCAGTAAGAGAGACTCTAGCCAGTTCTCCTTGACATTCAGAGACATGGTCATCTCTGAATTCTCCTACTGTCAACATCCTGGTAATCCTGTCGAAAAACGTGACTGGATGAGCCAATAAATAAGGTTGCTACTACAAGAGCAGATCAGAGCCTGGGAATTCTGCAATGTGCAACCCATTTTCTGACTCTTCAATGTCTACCATATAAAAGGCACAAGTCAGGAATCTGTTTGAATACTCTGCATCACCTGGATGGGTTCAGCTCCAACAACACTCAAGAAGCTCGACAACATCTAAGCCAAAGCAGCCTGTTTGATTGGAGTCCATTTCACTACCTTCAGCATGTCGTCCCTTCAGCAGTGGCATGTAGGAGCAGTAGTGCATCATCTATTAGAGGCAATGCAGCAACTCACCATGACTCCTTCAATAGCACTTGCCACATACCTGCAACTTCAACCCCAGAAATGAACAAGGGAAGCAGATGTACGAAAACACCACAAACTGAAAATTCCCCTCCAAGCCACATATCATTCTGACTTGGTACTATATCGCTGGTCCTTCGCTGTTGCTGGGTCAAAATCTTGGAACTCTCTTCAGAATAGCAGTTAAGGTGTACGTACAACACAAGGGTTGCAGTGTTCAAGAATGGCCGCTCACCACCATCTTCCCAAGGGCAATTGGAGATGGACAGCAAATGTTGTCTTTGCCAATATTCTTCAGCTTCCAATTTAAAAACCATCCTTAGCCACTTTACTCACTGCATCCATATCTCTGTGCATATCAGCAATCTCTGTTGTGACTCTAATCTTATCACAGGAATCAATGCACTCAGAATATTTGAAAAAACATACATATCCATGTAGCGATCAGTGTAAAGTGCATTAACAGTAGCAGAACACTAAACTAGAAGTCGGAAAGGCAGTGTGGGGAGTCTAGTCATTCAGTAAAAGTTATAATGAGAAATTATAATATCCTTTAATACCATTTAACAATTTGCTGCTTTAGAGTGGAAAGAAAAGATTAGTCTCAGTATCCTGGGAATTGAAATGGCCTAATTTCCTGGACCAGAATCTTCTCTCACTAAAATTTATACAATCTGTAGGCGACCTGATGAGAATTTACTTTTCACTGGAGCTGTGGTTTTGAAAAGAAGTGATCTAACAGCATAAAATAGTAAATTAACAACAAAAGCATAAGCTCCGACGATCCTGCAAGTAGAGTTGTCAACTTTCCTGGGCTGGAGAACAAGCTAACATTAACTTGACAGCATTAACTTTTCTTGCACTGTGATGGTACAGTTTTATCAAATAGTTTTTAAAGATAACCAAATTACACTGATTTGAAATGCCGGTTGAAAATAGCTGCAATTTATTTAGCTCCTAACGATTTAAGATAACCAGGTATCACCTCAGGGCTCAGCTAAAAGCAAAAGAGAATTGACTTATGACAGCTGAGATTTAGATATAAGTTATCACTTCAGAAAATCTGTTCTTCCTCTATTTATAACTGAACATCCGTCAAGCATCTTACTTAAACATGCCTTTATATTTCAGCTAAAGGCATTTAACGTTTCCATTCAGTTTGCAAGAACCTTAACCTTTTCTATGAAGCAACTGACTCCATTTAGCTGACCTAAATTTCTGCCACCCAACTTTTTGACATTGATGGGAGCCCTTCCTTCAACTGATAGTTCACAATTGTACGTCTTATTATGGTTCAAATGTATTGTCAATGTATATTAACAGCTCACCATTCAGGCAACAACCTGTATAAATATATCACCCTGCAGGGATAATTTGAGCACTTTTTGAGTGAAATTTTCCGAATGGAAAAAAGCCCTCAAAAATTTTGTGATTGGTTTCAGTTACTCCGTGTATGTAGAATTTTTGAATGGTCATCGCTACTTGTCCATGGCATTCTAACTTTATTCTGCTGTATGAATGTCCTAGTGAGTGAGCATTTGTCATTTGTTAACTGAAATTAATGCAGTCAGATAATGTTATCCAGGTCATGGGTAGTCATACAAGTAAAGGGGTGAAACCAGTGTTTTGAAGCACGAAAACAGAATAACACACAGTCAGTGTGGACTCCTATCAACAGTTACACTTCCTAAGCCAGGTAGATCAGTGTTAGTTTCCAGGACCTAAAAGCAGTTTCATGTCTTCCTATGTAATGATGAGCCTTGCTAATTATATGTCCTGAGCTTTGTACATATTAGTTCAGCCCTGCAAATGTCTTATTCTGGTATTTGTGAGCCTACTAATTTTAGTACATTCTTTTAACCATCTGCAGAATATCATCACAGAACATGAAATTCGGAACATTTCTTGCGCTGCTCAAGACCCTGAGGATCTTTCTACTTTTGCTTACATCACCAAAGACTTAAAGTCAAGTTACCACTACTGTCATGTATTCAGCGCGTTTGATGTGGTCAGTCTCTTGGCATTTTTTTTTCTGAACTAGCAAAAAAAGTTTTAGGTGTGTTTTTTTTTTTGTTTCTTCTCCTTGGTTGGATTCTTCTTTGCTGCTAAGCTGGGTGAAAAACAACTGACAGTGTTTTCTATTTCAGCTTTTGTAGGTTATTAGGTGGATCCACTTGCAAAGGATTGTGATTATCTGAGAGGTGTGCAAAAATTAGCCAACATATAGCCCATCTTCTTAAGCCTAGCGAATAAAGATAGCGTCTTGATATTGGCCTACAAGCAACTCAAGCTTTGATGTGTGAGATCCATCAGCTTTGTTCACTGAAGACATTTGATATCATTTATTTTCAAAAGAATAGAATTAAATTGAAGTTGGTACATTTGTTTTTGGCAGTGTAGAACACTTTTTTTGTAGTTTGCAATGTAGATTTAAATCCTGGCAATTTACTAAATTACATTCTAGATTCTTTTAAACACAATATTAATGTAAAAGGGACAGTTGAATAACAGGATTTTTACTAGGCTTGTAATCTGGAGGCCTCCGATTAATGCTTCAGAAATATGAATCCAAATCCCATCACAGCTGCTGGAGGAATTTAAATTCAATTAACTGATAGTTAGGAATCTCATGTTGGTCTTGTTAATAATGATCATGAAGCAATCGTTTTGTAGTAGAAATCCATCTGGTTCACTAATGTTCTTCAGAAGAGAAATGTGCCATCTTTATCCATTCTGGCCTATGTATGATTTCAGACCCACAGCAATACCCTCTGACATGGTCTAGAAAGCCATTCAAATTGTCTCAAATTGACTGAGGAAAAATTTAATAAAAATCCCTCCCTAACAGAACAGTGGATGTACTGGCACCAAATGGACTGCAGTGACCGAAGAAGGCAGCTTACTGGCACTTTCTCAAGGATGAGTAATCTAGGTAACCTGTGCATCCCAAGAAGGAATGTAATAATAAATAAATAAACAAATATGATAAAGACCGATTTATCGCATCTGCCTCTGGTGACCAAGTGGATTACTTTAGAACTGTAGCGAACAACTGGGCATTTGGTTTAGATAAAGCTGACAAAGTACACAGTCTGTTGCTCACTATTCAATATATGTCACCTATAACCAGTTGACCCTCAAATTCACATCTGTCCTACTTTATATTTTCAAGACGTATTTTATGACAATTGTCATTTTCCAAAAGCAATTTGATGAATGATTTTTTTTCATAATTTTTACAATCAAAATAATATTTACTACTTAATAGTCGCTTTTACATTGCAGACTGGGTGAATTTAAGTGGATTATGGTAGATCAGTAATGTTGAGAAGATGTGAGTTGAGATCCCTCTGTGGATTGCGTTAAGTAAATTAATTTGGAATAAAAACCTACTGTCACTAATGGCAGTCATGATTGTTGTAAAAAGCCATCTGGTACACTCATGTCCTTTAGGGGGGAAAAAAGCTTCTGTCCTTACGTGATCTGGCCTATGTGTGATTCCAAACCCAAAGCAATGCGTTTGACTCTTAAGTGCCTTCTGAAATGGCCTTTTATTGAACTCTGTTTTTAAGGATGGGCAGTAAATGCTAGTGTTGCCAGTGATGCTGACAGCCTTTGAATAAGTGAATTTTGGAGGTTCATCTTTTTATACATTTGAGTCCACATAATATGTAATCCCAAACATCATTTTTGTATGACCATTGGAATACTAATGCAAATATTTTCAGGAATAGCTAGTATTCCGACCTGAGCAGCTTCCCATAATGTGTCCATGGCTCTACTTCATTCAAAAGCATAACCATTCCCAGTGTTCAAGTCCTTTGTATGGCAGAGTTGTCATTAAGATTAATAGAGGAGTATGTTGCATGCCTGAGGCTTTAGACTCTGCAGAATTGGCTAACTAAGACTGTCATTGCTCAGTTACACAGTAATGAAGTATAGTTGAGGCTACCTTCATTCCACTATGTCCTGAAATATAAATATTATTTAGTGTCATATTGTGGCAAAGATTCTAGACTAGACGGGCAAGTATCTTGAAGACAGTTAACTTGACTTCATAGCATGTGATGTTTTGGTATAAAGACCTTCCCATCAGTCACATTCTATGTTCTGGAGTTACTGTAGTCAGTTGATTATTTGTGTACGATATATACTAACATCAGTAAGCATAAAACACTGTAATTCTTCGATATTTTAGCTTTATAAATAGTCATTGTAAATAAATGTCAAGATGTCTGACACAGCAGAACCCAGCATATCCATGATATGTGTTACACAGGCTAACATATGGAAAACCATAAATGGTATCATGGTGACATAAGTGAGCATTAAAAACTAGTTGTGACAGCCGGCTAGTGGCAGTATGTGGATTCTAAAGGCAGAAAAGGTCATAGCACAATGGCAGATTTGAAGTGTTTTTCCTCATAGTCATCAATCCTCATCACCAACTGAATTGAGAGCTGAGGTTACAACTATAAACAAGACTAAGGTGCCAAAACCAAAATTAATGGCTACAAACCTTTACTGAAACACAATGAATGTGCTACCTCTCTCTCTCTATTTAAAAAAAAATGAACTAGAGGCTGCTGGAGACCCAACTTTTTAAAAAAAAAATGCACTTTGAAGTGCTGATGGACGACCCCAAGCTAAGAAAATTAGGCCTGGAACAAAATATTGTGGGAAAACTAGCACAGCATAAAGTGATTTTCCACATTGAAAATACTTACTTGTATCCAATATCAGTTGATTCCAACAATTTCACTTCCAGATTAGCTCCTTTTATTTTGAATAAAGCATTTGTGATATCATCACTCCATTTTTAATGCGAATACCACAAATAGATAAAACCTACGACTATAGCACTGCAATTTTGAAGGGATAGTAACGCACAATATAAAAAATAGAAAATACAAAAGTACAGAAAAAACTGCACTGTAATACAAATTCTTAGAATGGCATTTTAAAGAGCAAGAAGGAAACACATAGCAATGGATTGGCATTCCATTGATATTCTGTCAGAACTTCAGTTGCTTAAATAAAGTGTCAATGTTTATGGATCAACAAATAAATTACACTGAATAACAGGCAGTCAAATTGCTACTTATTTTGGGGAGTGAAAGATCAATTAGAATAAAATCCTTCAGTATTTCTGATGATGACTGCAAAGATCCTGACCGTTTCTTTTGAGACCTTCGAAGATCACCTGAAAGGTTGTGTTAGTTTCAGGATGCACAAGCTGAGTGTGTGTAATAATGCCAACAGTTAACGTGAAACAGTTAATCAGTTGATAGGCAAGTGCCATGCAAAGCTACAGAAGCAGAGTTCACAGAAAATAACATAGCTGAAAGGCTTATGGCACTGGTTCTTGCCTCCAGAACTATTCAATCTACCAGGAAAGCACTTTTGGACAAGCCCCAGAATTATGCCATGAGTGCACTGTGCTCTGCTCTTGTTGTATTATGGCATAGATTTCAGACCAGACAGGCTAGTATGTTTAAGACAATCACATGACATCTGACTTCTGTAAAAGTACCCAGCTTACCTTCAGCTGTTATGTATCATGGACTCCAAGTCGTCGCTTGGTTATGTGTGTGTCATGTACAGTAACGTTAGTTAGCACAGAGCCCATACTCTGTTTAAGTCTGTGATACTATCGCCTTGTAAGTAATTGACATTGTAAATAAACTTGAAATCATCTGACTGTTTGATATATGTATCATGGGCTAACATACAATAAACAGGTTTGGGTGAAGGCAGTGGCCTCGTAGTTAGACTAGTGTTACTAGACTATTTGGAGACTTTCATAACATCCTGGGTTTGTATCCCATCACAATAGGTGGTGGAATTTGAATTCAATACAAATCTGGAATCAAGAGTCTAATAATGACCCTGAAGCCACTGAATCTGGTTCACTAGTGTCGTCTAGGGAAGGAAACTGCCATTGACACCTATATCCCATAAATGAATAAAAAGAAAAAACACAAATGGCACCATATAATTCTTCGGATAACACTGATAAATGGCAATTTAAATTTAGAAATGTTTAATCCTGAATATGACTTCTTGTTACTATATGGTTATTAAAACTTATAGTATGATCCAACCACACACTTAGATTACACAGTCATTGTGATGGGGCTAGTCTTAAAGTTCCAAACTTTGTAATCCGATTTGTGGGAACCTTTAATGTTCCTAGCTTATAGTAAAGGTTACATAAATAATTATTTAGACAGAAAACTGTATCACTTCTTTCTAAAACAGTGCAAGTTAATATATTTATTGGAAACTACAATTTGCATTGCAAAACTTGGTGGAGATTAGACAGTTGTTCTTTGTAACTGTTCAATGGCAGCCTCATTTAGTCAACCTGCAGAATTCATCGATTAACGTTTACAATGGACTCTTCAATTAACCTGGGTGCAACCTTGCTATATATAATGGACTCGAGCACTGGGAGAAAACATACTTTGAAAACATCTCAATGTTGTGAGATCTATGGGTCAATTATGGGAAGATGTTCAAGTCAGAACATTAGCCATTCCAAAGAATATTTGTAGGAGCATTCTAATGGTAATATGCTGGAAATAGTTCAAAAGTAAATGGCTATAAAATGAACCCCAGTGCGGCAGAAGTCTCCAGTTAGAATCAGCAACACAGCTGCAGTGGAATAGATCTTTTCGTTTCCATGGAGATCCAGAGTGTTGCAGTGAAAATTGTTGGCAGTAAGCGCATTAGATATTAGCAATGTGTCAGTTAAAACTGCTGATACAATATAACCTTTGAATCATAATTACATTACATAGCCTCAAAGAGCAATATAAAATTAGATAGTATGAATAATCTGTCAAAAGCAAACACCCTGGAGTTATTTATTTACATATTGATACTGATATCAAATCAGAAGTGTGTCAGTTGGTGCAAAACATCAAGAAAAACAAGTTCAAGGGAGAATTTTGTAAGCTGCTTGAGAACATGAGCTTATTGTAATATTTTATATGAGTTGGCTTTGACTTTAATTATGAAACGTGCCATTTTTAAGGTAATACGCTGCTGCTTTAATATGAAAAAAGGATAATTTAACAAGACATGACATTCAACATTCTTATTGTGATAATGTGGATAAGAATGATAAACATACTTCAGAGCTCTCTATTTCTCATCTCCTATCCACTGAAGTTGGAACATATAGTCATTTGCACACAACTTCATCTACTTTAATTTTATTAAGTTGCCTTCAAATGATACTTATAAATCCAACAATTGTTTTGTTTCTCTCGTTTCTCCTCCAGAATTTAGCCTATGAGATAATTTTAACACTGGGACAAGCTTTCGAAGTGGCTTATCAGTTGGCCCTACAAGCCAGGAAAGGTGGCCATGGCCCTCCAACAATGCAAGATAGCCTTGAAAGTAAAGCTGGCAAACCCATTCCAAAGCCGCGAGCAAGTATCCGGAAATCTGTGGTAAGAGTCTAATAAGCAGATAGATGCATAGCAACAAGATGGATCCTTTTCTGCTTTTTATTGGCAGTAAGCAATTCATTGTATCTCAGTGCCCCACTTGGAGATCCTGTGCACTAAGAACTAGGTGTCTGCTGATATAAATTGGATGCAAGATTGTTTAACATGCAACAAGCAATCAGAAGGAAATAAGTTAACAATGACCTTTCAATAGTAATTATACAAATGAATTGCTATCTGACATGCACGTTGTTATATGTCCTGCTAGTGAGTTATTGCAAACAGTAAATCAAGACTGAAATATCTCCATAGGGACCTGTGGCAAGCCAAAGCTTGCCTTTGTCACCGACAAAGGAGCTATAATGTGTCCAAGAAATACGGTTTCTAACTATGTGTTAAATCATTAATCGTATGAGATTTCTAACCCTTTATTGTTTATCAGTGGAAGAACAGGAAAGATGACAAACATATTTGTAACATATTCTGCTAATTGCTAACTTAAATGTGAATTAATTGAGCCCACTTTATCATTTTGCCGCTAGGTATGCAATGCCATTTTTTGGGAGGGTGATTAAGTGGAGACATCTCCTTACCTCCTGGTGCCCAGTTGTAAAGTTGAGAGTGCAGAAAGCCTGGCAGCAGGTTACTGGCTCATTCTCTTAGCCCAGGAATGGTAACCAGGATAGAATTAAAACATGACTAAACAGGCTAATCATGTCGTACATATAGAATAGATTATTCCTAAACCTGTGCAGCATGTAAAAATACATCAGCTCAAACACATTTCTACTTGAATGCATTCAATCTTCTGGTTATCAAAATATTTTGCACATTGGATAATTTAAGCTAACAGACAACAACTCTTGAAATGACCATTAAAAACAAATCTTTTATTTAATGACTGGTTAAGAAAGGACTTGTGACCAAATATGAGGACGCTATCACAAACCTATAGAAATTTGATTCAAATATCTTTCCAGTTTTATCTGAAAACCTGTGGGAAGATTTCAGCTTCAGGACGGGGGGGGAGGGGTGACCATTAAATTTGCATACATTTTAATTTTAAGTTATGACTCCTACATTTTAAGTACCAGAAATGCTGTAGCTGCCTCATGGGTAGGATGTGCAAGCATTAATTAATTTCTGTTTAGTTTGTTATTTTTGTTACTTCTTTTCCGTCCTATTTTGAAACATTAAGTGAAAAGGAACCCTTGAGCTGTTCCCCTCTCCACATCCCATCTGAAATAAGAAAACTGGTAAATGATTTCCACAACCTTCCTCTATTCTCACTTCACCCATCATGACAAGAGGATCCCAGCTGGAAGGATCATTTATCCTACACACTGTGCCACAGAAACAAAGTGTGAATAACCTTAGCATAGCCCCTCAAACTCTGATGGATCGTAACAGTGTGGTCTATTAGCCACAATCTGAGTTACTGTCTCGTTGCCTGCATTCAGCAGAAACTCACCACCTGTCTCCAGCTATCGATTCACTCAGCTGTTGCAAGCATAAACTCTGATTTAATTGCCACACAATCTAGTGAAAGGATTGGCAAATACCTCACACGATTGGTGAATCAGTGTAATACATTCTGCAGAAAATTCTCCGTCTTTCTAAAATTGCAACAGGCGCCTGGATAAAAGTATCTTAGTTATGAATGTACAAGCCTGCATTTGCAAAATAACTCACAATAAATACCCTGCAGTTTGACATTTTATACATTGAATTTGGAAAAGAGAACCCTCAAATTTGGGCAAAATCCGCATATTCTGATAGAACTCTGCTCCAACCATAGCCCTGTATTTGAAGAAGGAAAGCATGAGTGGATACCGAATTGTTATAAACGTTGAAGCCTGCTACTATATACAGTGTAGCACCAGCACAGAATTCATCCACGTAGGAACACTTTATAACAATTTTTCTCAAAACAGCAAATATATTTTTAATGTTGACACTGCTGTCTTTGTCTGCTCCATCTTTTTGTGTCGCTATCCCACTCTCTTTGCTCTGCCACTTGTGTGAACAGTAATTTCTTTTAATAGTTTGGAGTTCATGGACCCTTTCCAAATCGTCATATTCAGGCAGCTCAGGAAATGGATGATTAATGAGGGAATCATTCTTGAATTTTTCTTGTGAATTGTCTGTCCCGGCCTCATTCGCAGCTCTGCTGGATATTAATAGCACCCACATGCTGCAGCCAGAGAGTTACTGCCTTCCCATAAATTCTTAGTATGACAACTTGGCATTATCCCCTTGAAAATAGCAACCTATTTTGTTGGCACTGATAAAGAGCTTCAGGAAGCCTCTTGGCGTTGATAGCTGGTGTTAAACGTGGCTAGCAATGGCCCAAAAGCTCTGATTCTGAATTGAATAACCCCACCAAACTGAGCCACAAACACACCAAATTGTGTCTTCGTATAACCATGAATGGGCTTTTGTACGGTGGTTGGAAGATTAGTACTGGTGGATGGTGGAGTGCTAGTTTCTTCCATGCACCTTTGCCTCGTGCACTGATGGAACATTGTCCAGGCTGGATGCAGAGAAATGTGCCACTTAGGCTTCTCAAAAGTAGAGGTTGGCACATCAGTTTGAGCGTTGCTAATTCTGGCTGGATACATTTCGGGAGATGGAGGTGGAATTGATGTCACAGAAAGCCAGCAGTAAAGGCGTGAGCTGACTCTAAGGGGAAGCAGGGACTTGGTTCCTCACTGACATGATCAGAAATCCCCTAGAGATTAGGAAGTCTCCGCCACCCATCCCCTTCCTGCCCCAAACCTGGTTTAAGAATCTTTTAAATCTAGAGGGTCTCTCAACATAAAATAGGAAACTTTTAGTTGGCAAATGTAACTTGAAAACATCTCAATACAACTTTTACTAAAAATAGGGGTGCTACAGGTATAATGTCACCACTGTAAACTGCTGCTGCTTAGAATCACTGCCTTGTTTCAAGATTAAGAGATGCGACTCTCAAAGTATGCTCACTCGCTCTTAGACCAACAATAGCGCGTTCTGTTCTATCCGCTATAGATCGGGTCCGGAGCTACATCAGGAACAGGGAGATCAACTGGTTCACGGGACAGTGGCAATAAAATACAGCCTTTCCCGATGCTTCAATATTTCAAGAACACAGCACTCTAGCCCTGCTCTCTTGTGCGTGATTCGTGGTACCTGGGATCATCCCCGGAGTCAGTCACAGAGAACGGAGCACCGAAGCCATGCCAAATCGACAGCAGGATCCTAGACAAGTCCTCCACTTTAATCTGACCCAAAGTTAGGGCCGCTCGCTCCACCCTCCACCCTCCCAAAAGCTGGTCAGATAGGCCACCATTTCCATTGCAGCCTGCCAAAATCCCAGCCACTTGGACTCTTAAATAACTTCTTTTTTGATTTAAGGAGGTTTGAATTTGATTGGACATGCATGGTGTTAAAACCCCTCCCGGAATATTTGGCTACCAGGAGGTTGATGCTGGTTCCGTTGGACTCCTGGCTATTCTGGGAGGGTTGGCAATCCTCGTTGGTTTCCAGTGTGTGGAAACTGACCTAAGTGCCAAATTGAATTTCCCTGGTGAGCATTAAAGCTGCTATATGTGCTTTTCCTCTTCAAAATTGAATCTGACAATCCTCTTATCTCGGCAGAGATTTCCATTTGTCAAATGCTACAGGGTAATGCATGTTGAGTACCAGAATGGAGCTTATTGAGGAAAATGGTAGAATAAATAATTTGGTTTCTTTTTTTCTGTTTTCATTCTAACCCTGTTCTTTTCCAATCAACTCCTAATACTCCCAATATTTTGGTGAATCGGGAAGACAGGGTGAATTTTAGGTTGGCTACCTTTCTATTTCTGGGGAGTTGCTAGAGAGTGTTTACCGTCAATGTTGCAGAAATAGATGTCATGGAAGTGTCTCCTTGGTCTATTTGACAGATTAGCTGAGAAGGAGAAGATAGATTGGCAGGAGAGCTGGGCGTTATTATTCTGCCATGGCATGTGTTATAGATAGGGAAAAGTCTGAACCTAAGTTATGAAGGTAGGAGTAGGAGACACTGCATAATATCTCTTTGCTGTTATCATTGATAATAGCATAACATCAGTGTTGTCATTCAGGGCATCATAATACAAAGTCAGAGATAGTAGGACCTGCCGTTGCTGAAGAATCTGAGACAACACAGTGTAGAGCTGGATGAACACAGCAGGCCAAGCAGCATCAGAGGAGCAGGAAGGCTGACGTTTCGGGCCTAGATCCTTCTGGAAACATCAGCTTTCCTGCTCCTCTGATGCTGCTTTGCCTGCTGTGTTACCCAGCTCTACACCTTGTTGTCTCACACAATACAACGTCACTTTTATTATGAGAAAATGTGCTGTTGTGCACATATTTCTAGAATGCTAATCTCCAAAACATTTGGAGATAAGTTTATAGGGAAGGCATTGATGTGGTCAGATTCCACCATAGAATATGGCAAGGCTGGAGATGGCAGAACCTCATTTTATTGAGAGTCTGCACCATCTGCCTTGTGGCTACCTGTATGGGCAATCCAGCTGAATTCCATAATGGAACATTAGCAGTAGACTGCTGCAGTCTGCAGGTTACTCCCTGGTCATCACAGGTGGGAACGGGGTGTTGTCCATCATGGATAAGGCACAGGAATGCCTTCGGTTTGGAGGTGGGTGGGAAGTTGGAGATCAGGACCAGGGGAATTCTGAAGGTTTGAGGAGCAAGGGAGGGCCCACTAGGAACCTGAGATCATAGAATCGATGCCTGCTGCCTCCCTGTGCTAGATCAGGTTCCGGACCCCTTGGAAATCAGTGCAGCGGCAGATCTTTTCGAACAAGATTCCAGGCTGAACTGCAGCAGCAATGTTGCCTTTCCAAGATGAAATACTCTGATCCCTGATCCTCACTGTCATTCTGCATATGTGGGCTACACGAGTCAGCTTACAATTTATAACTGCAGCCCCACTGACCCTCTCTCAGTGGCTGCAGGGTGGGGTGCTGGGATGAAGC